AAAGCTCGAACAAATTTTTAAACAAATCAAATGGTACTTGAACTTTGCAGAGGTTTTATTACCTGACAAATAAAAACAAATGAAAAAACATTTGAAAAGAAATGCATAATGAAATCACCTTTACCCTGAATATTTTGGCATGTTCTTAGTTTCTTCGTCGTTGCTTCTGCCCAGAACTAAGCTCATTGCCGGTAAAGGTGCCTGGAAGAAATGGGCAGACGTTTTTTGTAAACAATTCACGCACAAAGGTGGTAAAATTAAGGCCCAAACGACATCTGATTAAAATGATCGCGTCGGACAATGTACTCAAATAGTTATTTGTCTGAGTACAATTTCAAGTAAATTTTTGTCTTGCAAATTTTCGAAAAAATGAACCAAACAGTTTTTGTAATTAATTTAAAAATATTCGGCACATTTCGATAAACTTTACACACACCTACGGAAAATAGGAACTCACCTGCGCGTGAGTCCTCGGTTACCACTTTTCTCCAATGCAATCTAATAAGTAATTAAGTAACGAAAGTTCATCATGGAAACCTCCGAGGTGTATGTAATTTAGGATCTGAAATTGCCGAATACTGTTTGGCAACCTAAATATTTCAAAATAAATTTAATTTAACTGCATAAAATGTCAACGAACGAGACACAAAGAGGTAGAGAGTGAGGGCGTGGGTAATGAAACGCGAAATGGTGCACAATACGAAGCTAAAAGTAAGCGCAGTCACACCATAAAATCAGTTTTGTTGATTTTAGACGTTCATCCACAATTGCCACTGAGCACTTTCCGGAAAACGTAATCATCAAAAATTTTGGATTTTACAACAAAAAAAAAAACAGAATTTCATGCTAAGTACAAACACTAATGAATTCTGTAAATGGGGTAAGTTCTGAAATTTAGTTTTGAATATCGTGTGTCAATGTGTGCTGCTTGTTTAAGTCTTCTACCCTGCAAATCGCCACGTACGTAAAAAAAATTCAATAAAGAAAAATAAAAGAAATCAAGCGCGTAAATGTCTGTATTTCATACATACATACATATCTATTTTTCCATAAATTTCTTTGTCAAACTCATTTGTAGCAAACAGCAAAATTTTTATTTGAAAGAAAAATTTGCAGAAGCAAGTCAAGTCACAGTACGTCGCTGAACGCTTTTAATAATAAAAAAAAAAAAACGAATGAAAAATTATACATACCTACATAAAAGATTTGCAAAGAAATAAAGCACTGACTTAGTGTAGAAAAGCACAATCATCTTAGCACTCTTGCGGGACCTGCTCCGTTTTCATAAACACACCGACACACACACACGTTCATAATATGCATCAATCAAATTTCGCGCATTGCCGCCGAAAACACACACATTTACAACTGCCGTAAATTGTCATTATTTCTATTGCATTTTTCCTTTCCTTTCATTTACTTCTACATTGATTTTATTACACAACTAAAAAGTACTTACATCAGCAAAAATGTTCTTTATCTTTATTTTCTGTTACATATGTAGACTCGTTCTGAATTGATTACAGACTAAATTGAGAAGATTTCCTTTCTTTATACTATTGCAAAGGGCTCAGAAAGCTTTAAAGCTTTTTTTCTCAAAAGCTCAAATCTGTTTTGTTGATTTTTTCAAAAGCTCGCGCACAACACTGATTTGTTTTGGTAGACCAACAATAACTTTAAAACTCGTTTCCGTTCAAAAGCTTAATTACTAAATAAGCTTTCCTTCTCCAAATTTAAAATATATTGACTAGAGCTCAATAAGCTTTAAGTATATTTTTCGTTTAAAATCTCAATTACAAAAGCATACCTCCTAATTTCTAATTGTTTTGTAAAATGCTCAAAAAGCTTTAAAGCTCTTTTTATTCGAAGACCAAAAAACCAAGGTTACCTCTTTAACACTAACAAATTTTAATTGCCTCATATTTAAGTTTTCAGTTACATAGCTCTTCTTACTTGAATTTAAACTCCTCTTTTTAAAAGGCTGACAGCTCCTTACTGTTAATACGTATCCCTACAACTCAAAGCTTTCCTTCCTTGCATAATTGTTAAGTAAGTGTAGAGCAACTATGAATCTTAAACAAAGCTCACTTTTTTTTAAACTTTGCTACAAAGCTTTCCTTTTTTACATAATTGTAACCTAGGATTAAAGGAGCTTTGATGCTACTCATTTGTAATGAATCAAATTATGATTTTATTTTACCTAAACGTTCTTTCTGGCCATTACAGGATTAGAGCGGTGATTGACATCCCTTTTCCAGCATGTGAAGCTTTCTATGTATACATTTTGTTTAGAGTAGCGATGAGCAGAGAGAGCTTTTACTCTGCACGCGTTTATACAAAATGTAAAGGAAGCTCAAAAGAGCTTTGCCCGCGGGCAAGACAGTGCCCATCAGTGGTTTAGAGCAATCACCATCAAATCACATTTCGCGGGAGCTATTATATGGTCGCGGAAAAAAGCTCGCTCTGACCGTCAGAATAAAAGCTCTATCTGGCCTTTACTGATTTTGAAGGATATGAATTCTTTAAAGAGGATTTATGAAGTGTACCATTCAAACAGTATTTATATATGTATACATATATGTAAAGGCTTTGAAAGAATTCGAATGCAATTGCACAGAAAAATGAAATTTCATGTATTCAAAAAGGTTCAAACAGGCTTACCCGCTTTTTGTTTAGTTCCATGCTGACCACCACATAAGCAAGCATTCGCGTAGAGTTTTATCAAGTTTTCTGTGCATTTTCCACTGAATATTTCTATGTCTAACACTAATTTGTTTACATTTGAACAATGAAAACAAAACTTTTTGAAGACTATCTAAAGTTTAAACCTTTCTATCGGTTTATTCAAACCCTTTTTTATGCTTTCTCAAGCGTAGTTTTAGCAAATGAAAGTCCGGGATTTCATTGAAAGCCCTATTAAATAATACGAGTTTATCTCAGCTTTCTCGATTTCTATCAAATAAAGCTTAAAAAAGTACAAAGTGCATTTCTACATGCGTATCAGCTCTACTCATCAAAACTTAAAATCGTAAAAGCTTCAGTCTCGCTTCAACAAAAGGTCTTAAGCTTCAGAAGACGATTTTAACTTTGCTTCGAAAACAGCTTTAAACTTCAAAGAGAGCTAGTAGTTTAATTCTGACAAAAGCTTTAAAGCTTCACAGAGAGCTTTTAGTTGTTTTTTTTTCAAACGTTTTTCTGCTTCAGAAAAAGCTTTTAACTGTGCTTCAAACATAGCTTTAACTTCAAAGCGAGCTCTCAGTTTCACTTCAACACAAGCTTTAAAGCTTCAAAAAGAGCTTTTAGTTGTTTTTATTTTCAATCGTTTTTCAGCCATCAAAAACCGTTTCACCATTTTTTTTTAATCACCTTGTGCAAACCGATCCTATGTTGAAATATATCCACACCAAATTATATGTAGTACTATATAGTCATATATGTATACAATACTTGCATACCTATGTATTTCTACCCAATTGATATGTGTGTATGTACATATGTATATGTGTATGTATTGCAAATTGCTAGACTGTTATCTTTTCGTTGGTGTTGAAGGTGTGTGTTTGTGTGCGTGTGTGTGCATTTCATGTGCGTTGTACTCCCCTCCATAGTGACAATTTGGGCCAATTTCACAGTGCGTAGTTAACTCCGAATCGACAGTTAACTAGAGATTTTCAGTACAAAATTCTGTAGTTAACTCCCGATTCGGAGTTAACTACGCATTGTGAAATTGGCCCTTAGAGTAGCGCGCCGAAAATGCGGAAACATTCTATAGAAAAACAAAAAAAAAAAAAACTAAAGGTGATACCGTTTCTATCAAAAAATGTTGCCCTTCCCCGGTGAAAAATGTGTTTGTTGTTACACTCAACCCTGTCAAAGGACATTTTTTTGCCTTCTTGTCCTTGTCCAGCTCACGAATTTCATAACATTATCATTTTATGCAACCATCTGATTTTCAGGGCAACCATCTTCACAGGTCAGAGTATGTGCCTTTTTTGCCTTACAAGAGTGTGACATTTTAAGATACGAACACAAAATTTGCTCGCCCTTTGCCTTTGATTCAAAATCGAACACGAAAAGAGAAAGGGGCAATCAAAAGGCGAATATTTTTGGTAGAAACGAAATCACCACAAGCTGTGGGTTCGTGCTATCAAATTCATTTGCCAGGCACATAAATAGCATAACAATCGATGAACTCGGCATAATAAGTGCATAGAATCCAACCTTAAAAATTAGTTTGTTCGAAAGTTATTGGCATCATCCCTCCCTTTCAAATAATAAATATTTTATATGTCATAATCATAATTAATGATAATTTATATTAATTAAGTATATAAAAATTACATTATTCATAAAATTTATATTTTAACATACATATGTACATATATTTATTTTTTACTTATCTATTAGTTTCTATCGATTATATTTAATTTACACCTTCACGCTTTATTTATTTCATTATAATTTCTTCATTGTACTCATTATTGTAATTTTCTCACAAGATAATCAAAATCAGTAATGTAAATTAAAAATTGTCTAAAAATTTATCAAAGGCAATTCAATTACCTGATAGTTACTCGTATTAGGCTATCAAACAAACCAAACTTAGCTTCTTCAACGTATAGGTACATTTAAATTCTTATATGTGTACATGTTTAATTGCCTATTTATGTCTTTTTGTCTATTCACGTTTAATTAATATTTGTGGTGGAGAGTGTAACTCATATGTAATATGCATTACACGCTAACGATATACATACATACTTACATATATGCTCGCTCACTTAACATCCACTTCAGGCTACAGCATTTCAAATCAATACAAATCCATATACATATTTATATGTATGTATGTACGTGTTTAATTGCATTTGTATGTATGTACATATGTACGTATATGTAGCCATATGTATCTACATATCTACTCGTATATGGATTATTTTAGCCAATGAGGAACGGTCAATACTCCACCAAAATTAATTGTAGAAATTATTCGTTTGCAGAGTTCAATATGGTAGCTTGCAGGATAACTGATGCCCGTAATATTGCAGCAAATAATCATCATTTGCATCAGCATCCACAACACCATCAGCAACAGCAGTTGCAACAACAGCAACAGCATACACATCAACAATTGCAACATAATATGCATAGCCGCAGTACGGGCTCACTTTCCGCTGGTCAAGTGCCTTTAAAAAAGTAAGTACATATACATACATACATCCTTTTGTAGGTGAATTCGAAGTGGTAGAGGGCAGAGTATGGAGTCGTACATAGAACTAATCCACATAAAACACAACACATGCATACTAAAATCAAAACATACATTGTTATCAAATTTCATGAGTCCAGTGGGAGGAAGGCATACAAAGAAAACTGAGTTGGTAATCAAACGAGATACATGCACATACATACATATGCAACAACTACTATGTATGTAGGTAGTAATTTGCGTTATTTAGTGCAGCCATACGATGCTGAAGCATGAAGGCGCAGGCATTTGTAATGCTTTTTAAATACATTTGACACTAAGTTAATTAGAAAAAAGATTACTAGTAGTAATTAAAAGGGTTATTATAAAAAAACTGTACTTTAAATCGACCACAGCAGAAAGAACTCTGAGCTTTTTCGTATATTCATCAGTGACAACCAGATACAGCATATACGCGTCTCCCGCGGAATATGTTTTTGGTGTGTTTGATCTATAAAAGATATAAAGAAAGCTTAAAAAAGCAGCGATGCGCATAGAGAGCTTTTGCTCTGCACACGCCTATACAAAATGTATCAGTGATTTAAAGCGATAAAACGGCACTATTTTGCATGCGTACAAAGCTTTTGTAAGCTTTGTATACATTTTTCACGGACTCGAGCAGATCAAAAACTGATCTAGCGCGAAGAGAGGTATATCACACTAAGATAAATAAACCGCACATCGAATTAAGAAAATATCCAATATTTTAGCAAGTGATACGTAAGCCTGAGAGAAGCCTTTTGGGAAGCGCACAAAATAATTTCTAAAAAGGCTGACAACAAAAAAAAGGTTTACCATAAAGCAGAATTGGAAGGGGAGCCCTAAGTATGTTAATATAATAACTTTTTTAAGCTTTTTGCTCATTTATGTACGGGCGGTGTTCATACCATAGCTTTTTTGAGCTTTTTTAAGCTTTGTTCACATTTATATATAGCACATCGGTGGGTTTAATTGGCAGATAGAAAGCACGTTCATAGAAAATATTTGGAGAGCTAGGGAAAGCTTAGCTTTCCTGAAAAATCTTCTCATTGAAAGATTAAAAGCGAAATCTATAAAAGCTTTGCTGATGTACTAAGTTTTAGTTTTATAAAATTACAAAATGCTGATCAAACTCGCGAAAAAGAGCATTACTTTTCGAGTGTGCTTTAATTTGTGCAATAGCTTAGAAAAGATTTAAAGCGTGTTTTCAAAAGCTTAGCACGTATTCGTTTAACAGCTTTGTAAATATTTTATTGGGAGGCAGAGCCCTCTCTGATCATCAGTGGCCAAAGTACTGCCCAACTCAGCTTTGCAAGAACTGAGCACGTGTGCTTTAAAAGCTTTCTATAATTTGTACATGGACTCAGAGCTCTCTCTCGTAAAAGAACTGTCAATATTTGTATGGAGCTCAGTTTACGCACATCTGGTAAAATTACGATGCAAATTTGATGCGTAACGACTTTGCAAACTTCTGTGCTGCCGAGAGGCGGAAAATGTTATACTAAAATGTATGATGAAATATATTGAAAACAAATGAAAAAATAAAAAGTGAATAAAATGAATGAATTTCATCCACTCATTTTATTCACTTGGGTTTTCTGCTCATTTACGGCTTTTCAATTATATTTTAGCTCTCATTCGAGCTGACGGGCTCGGAAAATACCTACTAAAAAATGCTTCGAAAGAAAAGTACACCAAATTCACCAAACACTGATTAACCTGTCAAACAGTCACTTTACGCACCTATTTACACATTTGCAAAAGGGGGGCGTTCCTGGAACAGCCTCGTACAATTACGAGTTTTACGATAAAATTTTCAAATTTCAAACTAGCGGAAAGAGAGTTCCTATTCGGGAGTTCTCTAATCTGTGCAGTAGTTATAGCTTAAAAAATCTTTGCAACGGCAATGGACACTGCCTTGCCCGCGGGTAAAGTCTTTTAAGCTTTCTATATATTTTGTATAGGCTCGCGCAGAGTAAAAGCTCTCTCTGCCTAACGCTGCTTTACAGCATTATTTGCCGAGGAGATATATTTCTTTGTTTCTAATCGTATCTAAATTCTGCCGAGAGCTTTTAAAAGCTTAAAGCTCGGAACACTTTGACGACTGCAACTTCACGACGTAACGACAGCGACATCATTTTGTCGACAAATGTCGCCTTGAAGCCAGCTTCTTAAACATTTTGAAGACCTTAGCGACATAGCAAACAGCTGATTTTAAAGTTTGACATTTTGCTATATTTATTTCACAAATTGTGTATTTTTATTTAAGTAAATAAGAAAAACATGGACAATCAAGAATATGTGATTAATTTTGCGACAATTTAATTTTGCAGCACTACATCTACTCATTGTCGCCGGCAAAATTAGAAATAGATTTAATTTGGCGACGTCGACAATTGCAGTCCTGCAGCCAAGATGTCGTGCTGTCGTCAAAATAATTGTGTCCGTAAGAACGTGTGTATTTAAAATTTGACAGATGCTGCTTGTCGCTTGCTGTCGTCAAAGTGTTCCGAGCTTAACACGTTCGCTTAATACTTATTTAGATTTTATTTGGGCGCGCATAGAGTAAAATCTCTCTCTGAGTATCACTGACTTAGCCCAGTGAAGATTAGAGCGAGCTATGCTCGCCGAAATAAAATCTACTGAAATCTTTAATGAGTTATGTTAACCAGCGCTATTTTTAAGTATCACTGAACTAAGTACTGCCCAACTAAGCTTCACAACCGTTTTGTTGCCCGAGAAAGATATCATTTGCTTTTAAAAGATTAACACGCGCGATTTTAAGAGCTTTCTATAAATTTTATAGGCATGCAGTCTTACAGGTCTGCTTTTGGATTTCGTTAACAAAGAAAGTTCGCAAAACAATGGAAATGTATGTATTTCCGTCATGAAAGGGCCTCTCAAAAACCATCTTTAGCTTTAGTTAACTTCCGATGGCACGAATATTGAGTAAAATCACATAATCGTTAACTTTTAAGAGGATATGCTGGCAAAAAGGTCTTTGCCTGGAATATACCAGC